TGGCAAATCTGTGTGTGGACGTACTCATTTCTATACATATGACAATCAGCTTTAGTGTAGTCAATATATGACCTTCTATGGTTAAAACAAAACTGGGGACACATTCTAGGACAAACATGTCCATGCATAGCCAAAAAAAAAGGAAGAGAAAGGAAGAAGGAATAAGGGAGAAGGAAGGGAGAGGGAGAAAAGAAAGAAAGAGGGAGAGGGGAAAGAAGCAGCAGGTTTTTCTTCTCTGAAAAACATTTATATGTAGCCACAAGAGGAGGCCTGAGGTTAAAAGCTGCAAATGTGGACTTGGAAGGAAGGAAGGTGGGCAGGCAGAAATTAGGAACAGAACTGATTATTAAGTGATTTACCTGAAATAAACTGTCCATTTTCTCTTGTGTTTCATCTCTATGTTAAATCCTGGAACAGATCAGCATGTGTCTCCACATAGACACACTTTCTGAATAATTCCCCTCCACAATCCAAAATACCAGCTCTCCCAACAAACGGTATTTCTTGCACACTCCATATTACACATGCTAAATACTTTATTGTACTAGATACAACCTCTAAACATTTACAGTAAGTGCACTTAATAGCAAAATTGTTTGCCAAACCTCATTGGCTCTCTCCATACTTGCGCGTTATAAACATGGTTTTCTTTAAACAGGAAAACAAATGAACAGATTCCTGAGTCTCCCACATGCACTTCTGGTTATCAGAAGTTTATCACAGGCAAACAGGAACATTTCATGGAGGCTCTTGTTAAAATGCTGGCAGCTTATCAACAGCTTGGATTTCCATATACCACAGCAGAGAGCAGCATAGTTTTACTCCTTTTCTGTTTTGCCCTTTTTTTTTTTCTTCTAGTATCAACCTCTTTTTTTCTCTGTGATAGACTTAGAAAACTGGAACTGGTTGAATAACTTGTCTGCAAATCCTCTAAGAGAAGAAAACGGGAGGAGAGAAAAGGATACTTTTTCTTGAGGAGGCATGGCTGGACAGGTGTGATAGTTAGTACTGTTTTAGCTATCTGGCTATTCAAAGTGGCCTTTCTGTTCAAACAGGAAGGCCTGAGCAATTCAACTGAACAAATGAAACTGCAGTTGCAAAGCACCTCCATGCAGACATCAGCGTACAGCACAGACTGATTGCTAAAGGCAAGAACTGATCATAAAGGACATGATTGGTAGACTTAACATTGCAAGTTGCTCGACAGGGAAGCCCTTAAGAGGACCAGAAAGGAAAAGCTTGTATTTGAGTTACATTACTTCTGCAGTGGGTAGAAAAGAACCAGTTGACTAAGGTTGACTTCTGTCAGCTCCATCCCATTTCATGGTTGGAAGGGACACAAAGGAACGACAAGCAGAACAGGGACGCACCACCTTGACTGGCAGTGATTGAAAGACTACAGGTGTTTGCATCAAAGCCTCTCCATCCGGTGGTGTCCTCTTTAATCCCACTTGGGGAGAAAAATCTTCTGGGTGCGCTTTTATTTCTTTCACAGAAAAAGTACCCTGGTTTTAGTCTGTGGACACCTACTGGAGTAAGAACAGAAAGAGCTGGTGGTGGCAGTGTCACAGAGAGGGACCCCAGCTGACTTCACAGTAGTTAAGCCTGGTAACTGGTAGCACTCTTCTGCACCAAAGTAGAGGTCAGAAGAAGCTACAAAATCTGCTTCAGAACCATGGACCATTTGAGTTTCCTCTAACAGATTGCTCCCGGCCATGGCCAACACCTGTGACTTCCACAGAGGTACAGACCAGAAGACATACACCTCAGAGTGACCTGAAAAGTTTCATCTTGGTGTAATGTCATACTTGGTGAAAATTATGCTGATAATGAAAAGTTACTTTGGAGGGGAAGCAAAATTAAGGCAGTGGCCATAAAAATACGTTCCTTCCCCTCTGACATGTAAGTTACCCAGGCTTAATTTGTACCATGAATATAGCACTCCTGCCCTTTTTATTTTACCAAGTGACCTATGCCAAGCCTTTGCTGCCAGCTTCCTTAAGAAGTCCCACAGCTGTGACTAGTTGGGAAAGACAGAGTTAAAAAAACAATAGTGGATCTTGGCTCAACTTTTTAAAAAAACATTACCGATGCGCTATGGATAGACAAGTGTGCTTTGTTTCAGGAATCACTGAAGAAACTCTTAATTGGTCTGCCCTTTCTCCTTGTGCCAGCTCTGAGCATCCCACTTAGCAGCCAGCCTGAAGCTACCAAAAAATCTCAGAGAACATGGAGCAAAAAAGGAGTTGACAAGAAACGCAATCTGTGTCAAACATAGAATATATTTTCAAATTTTATGTAAATGCTGTGACGAACAGCTCTGTGGATCAATGGTTACCTCAGCTTCTCTAAATGTGGTAGCAACAAGGAGTTAAAATCCTACTCAACAATCCTTCATTCAAAGACAATCTTTTCAATCAGTTTTCAGACTTGTCCTACCACTAAAAAGATAAATAGGAAAGACACATTTTCTTCAACCTGCAAATAATTTCATCAACTATATTCCCTTTAATATACAAATCCTCACCACTACAATTGCTGAAACTAACACCATTACATTTCAACTTCGAGAGGATTTACTTGGACCAGAGGCATCCAGCAACAGAAGAATTTTAATGACTGTGGGAGGATTGCTGGTATTTTAAGAAGTCTTCTAAAACCTTTTGAAGGATTTGAGATAAGTAAAAATAAGTGGAGCAATTTTTTTCCCCCCTAAGTACTTTGCACCATGTTTTCACATAGCAGAAGTGAATTCCACAACTGCACAATGAAGCTGGAGAATCTGAACAGAGAAGCAAAAGTGAAATACAATCTGAGATGAAAACAAGTGGCATGGGAACCATTCTAAAAAAGAGAGCAAATGATTATTTCTATTCCAAGCTCTGTTTTTTATTCTTTCTGCTCACAGCAGCTTTAATTTCATTAGCTTGCAAAGAAATACTCAATCCACAGATCGGTTTTCTCAAGGATATAGGGAGATCATGTCAACAAAACAATGCACTAATTAAATTTTTGAACAGCAGCCACATGCTTGGTGAGTTCCTCTAAGTGGAATCATACAAGCCACGTGTGCATCCTGTTGCCTTTAATCTAACATATTGCGCTTCACTTTGTAGAAGAAAAAGCCACCTGCTGGCAGAAGTGCTTCCAGATTAATCTACCCCACAACTGGAATTTATCTGGTGTTAAGAGTTCATAGGGTCCAGCTTCTTGAATTGTTGAGTGCCTCCTTGCAGAAGGGCTGATCAGTGTACCTTGCCAGCAACTGCCACCTGTCACCATTACGATGAGAAAGAAAAGCCTTCTTGGGCATCCATCTTCACAAGGGGCCTCTGGGCCCACCTGCATATCACAAATGATTGCACTCCTGGCTTAAAATTATTCAGCTACAGCTTCTCCAAAATCACCACACTTTCAGCATAGTAAACTAGGGTGAACAATTTACTGCTATTTCTTAACGTCGTGCACTCTGTCCAGGAAAGATGCAATACTGAACATGCAAACAGTTAAAAGGACACTTGGAAAGGTCAACCCCCACCCCCCCAAAAAAAAAGAAAAAAAAGGAAAAGAAAAGAGGTATGTATGATGTCCTTCTTTTGTGGGCAAGTTGAGGACAGGAAGAAGTGCTCTTCCTAGATCCAGCAACTCCGAGCACTCTTGAGAAAAGGAAACTGTTTTTCAGTCAGATGTTCCCTGTTATTGGGGGCACTTTTACTCTCTTCTACTTACCTGCATTAGCTCAAACACCACGCAGGCGCTAAGGAAAATTTATGAGTGGCTTGGGAAGCAGATACTTTTAAATGAAAAAGTTCATATGGCCTGTTTTTCTCTTTCTCAGCATAGTTATGGGGATAAAAAACAAATCTACCTTTACATTCACCTGCTCTCAGACGTGGTTAGAAAAAAAGAGCTGTTTTGTGCAAAGCAAGTGCAACATTCAACACTTTGGTCCATCTGCAGATAATGTTGCATTTATCCCCTCTGCCCACTCTATCTTCCACAACGTCAGCACAAATTTGGCTTGACAGGACAGGTGACCTTCAGTTTTGCTGAAAGCAGTGGCAAAACTCTCGCTTTATTCAGTGGATACACGTTTTGCTCACTTGCTGCTCTCCTTCAGCAAGGAGCTGCCTTTTCCACACAATTTTTTACTTGTAGGCATAAAATCCAAGCACTTCTTCCAAATGAGAGGTATTAACAACTCTGCTTTTTGCTGGGCTAACTGTGTCTCCTCCATTTCTTCCCTGCCCAAAGGGGAGAATATTGTCCCTTGTGTCCAGTATGATACATTGAAAGATACATATCTGACTTTTTTTTGTTTGTTATAGAGGCAAATTACGATGAGAAAAATGGCTCCAGGAATTTACTGTTGATATATTTTACATTGTTAGGAGAACAGACAGTTTCCCAGAGAAAGGTCCCAAGTTTTTTATCAGCAAGATCCCAGCTTTGTTCACATTTACCCCTGTCAAGGAGTTTTGATTATTGTCACTCATTCTTGGTAACTGAGATTCACACGAGTGGCATTTCTCTTCCAAATAGCTGTATATGAAAAACTCTGTTAGATTAGCTGTTCATAATTATGTACGTGTGTGCCTATTATATGCAGCACCGTCCAGTCACTTGACTTCAAAAAATAAAATTGTACCTTGGTTTTTAGCAGCCTACTGCTTTTGAAATTAAGGGTACATAATTTAAAATATACCCTACAAGTATTTCTCAGTGCAAAACTGCAGAGAGTGTTTTGTTTTCAATTACAAGAAAGGTTCCATTAAAACTTATACATTTTCTTCACACTGAAAATCCGTTTGCTTTCTGCTATGAACAAAAAAGTCTTCTAAAGTCACAAATAATTTCTTTTCAAAAAAATCTACCAGTCTGACTGTAGCCCTTCAAGAGCGTTAGGAATGTGTCCTTTAGAGAACTTGCCCATGAAAAATTTGGGACTCCTCACATGTTACACATTTCATACTGCACTTCAAAGAAGAATGTTAAATATCTTGTGACTAGAGTACTGTTTATTTCATAATCTAAACAAACACTGGAATACAGCCTATGCTTTTCTACTTTCCTGCAGACTTTACAACGAGCTTTTTTTTTTCATAATTAAAACAATCTGCATACACATAGATCATGCATGCTCTCTAACACCAGTAATAAAGGTAAGAAGAGTCAGTTGCCATCATCCTCCTGTTGCCTGTTAGAAAAAAATACTTCTGTTTTTACTGTAGTTATGGCAGTGTGGCTAAAGATACTTAGACTAGAGCAAAGTTTTACTCCCTGCACAGAAAAGGTTCATCACAAGCATGCTGATGGTGATAAATATTACATGTCTATTAAATGATAGGCATACTTTTATCCCCTTTACTCCCTTTTTAAAAAGACTAAGTGGCTACATGTAAATGCAGTGAAGCAGGTATAAGCTTAATTAATCAGAGTTGACTCAGACTGGCACCAAGATGCAGTAAAGTCCGACAAGGTCTCAGCGAGGCTTTCCATGGGCTATCGATGGCCCCTGACACAAGGCATCTGCCTTCCACTTTTTGAAAGTAGAAATCAAAGGCCTTGCAGCATGGCCAGTCCCACGGACAGGGCTCCCTGGAAAAGAAGCACTTGTAGTCCATTAGTGTTTGAGAAAACCTTGTGAGTGTGTTACCTTCCCCGGGGCCATGCACCCATCCCATGCCGTGGTGTAAGCCTGCTGCTCTTCGTTTGCTGTCTGCACTTCTACACCACGGAGTGGTCGTTGCTGTGGACACCAGCCAAGATGGTGTGGTTGAGCGAGGATGCTGAGCGATCTGAGCCTTCGGTGGGGCCGTTGGCACTCTCGCTGCGCTGGCAGCAGAGGATCTGCTTGAAGGTCGCGCTCATCTCCTTGTCCCGGTAGGAGTATATGATGGGATTCATGGCAGAGTTGAACTCTGCCAGGAGCAGGAAAAATTTTTCATAGTCCAGGACGTTGCACTGGGGACAGCAAACATCAAGGAGCAGCAAGACTAATCCTGGGGTCCAGCAGATTATGAAAGCACCTAGGATGAGAAAGAGTGGACAAAACACAGCAAAACCCACAAATATACTAATGCACCATTACTTGTCAAAACACTATGAGAACCATCCAACTGCAAGCAGCAACCATTAATTCTCTCTTCTGAGAGTATCGTTCCCACACTTACTCTTCACTGACCTGATGAGAGGGACGCCTTTCAAAGTTCTGTAAATGGTTACGGGCAGCACATCAAAAGAGCAAGGCATTCCACCCCCCCTCCCCAACACTCACCATGTGAAATTCTGCTTGGCAAATACATTTGCATTTAAAGTTGATAATGAGGAACATTTTTTCCCTTCAGCTAGAGACCTCTGACTAATCAATCTCTTGATCAGGAGAAACAATGCTGCAATTTACTTCTCAAACTAATAACAACAAAGAAAACCTTTCTGGGAGTGCTGTGACTGAAGCATCGTAATAGAAAAAGACTGGGGCAGGCAACAATTCTCAAGAAAAAGAAAGCCTGTGTCTTGTTAATCCATTTCAGCCCCATTATGTAATGGAAAGTCCTAAACACACATCCTTCTTGCACTGAAATGCTGTCCTTCAACAGATCTACTTCTTTTCTTAGGGCTCTATTCAGTAGAAATTCAGAGGCTCCTCAGGCTTCAACAGTGTAAATGCCAAGAAGCCTTACCCTGATTGAAATGCTTCCCCCTCCTTCCTCTGCTTTGCAAAGCTCTGAGGGGTGTAAAGCCCAGAACAAAATTCAGAATTCAGTGCAGAAATTAAAACAAACGCTTTGCACCTTATTGGGAGCATGGAGTTAACAAAGATACTAACTCCTTGAAAGGTTAAAGAGGTTTTAAATATAAGCACCACTGGGGAAACCCTTAGACATCAGTCATATCAGAATGAAGACAGTGCTCCTGAGACTTTCCAGGCTGACAGAGGTGGAAACACGCTTAACAGAGGTGGAAACCAAGGTCTTATCATCGTCAGGCAGGCTTAGCACGGCAAAAGCAACAAGGGCTTCCCAGCACTGTCCAGTAAGTGCTGTTTTCAAACAGTTTCTCCTGTCACTGTGGTATTTATTTGTTAACATACTGCCTCTGTTTTTAATGCAGTGATGTTCTGTTCAGGTCTGGCAGCTGACTGCAGTCAGTCTCTGTAGCACACAGACTTTGTGCTGTGCCTGCCAAGAAGGTGCCAGCTATTTCCAGACTGGGCAGTGCCAACTGTAAGCTGTGCAGACACCTTTCTGTTTGGATGCCAAACCCATCCAGATCAAACAGGAGAACATTTTCCAAAGGGCTTTGCAAACAGGGTGTGCCAGGCTACAAACACTAGTTGCCAACTAGGCAACAACACATAGGCTTTCTATGTACCAATAAGCATCCCTAAACTGAGTTTGCTTGCAAATGATGGTGCCACAGTGCCACTCAATGTCTATCACTTTGCTGACCAACAAAGCTCCCAAAGGGAAAGAAGCTGGGAGGTGAACTGCCAATGGCCAGTACGAAGCATCGATGTCCCGGGCCAAATGACTTTGCTAGGGGCTGGCAGCAATTTTACAGCATAGGGTTGAAACTCTCCCACACTGAGGTGGTATCAAACACATGAATCCACTTCAAAGCTTTTGTCTGCAGCTCTTTTGGATTCCAGTGTCCTAGAAAAGAGTACTTGAAACCCAAGCAAAAGACTACTGTCTTTTGTCCCTTCCTTGAACCTGTTCCCAGAAGAGTAGAAAACTGCTTGTCTTTATTTATAGGATTGTCCACGTTGATAAAGAGACTGCCCTCTGCATGGAGCAGCTCTTCTGAGCTGGTTTCTGCAGAAAGAAGCCAATCTTTCAAATTCAACCCTTCACTGCTGAAACTCTGTGTTTTATTCAGAATCCTAGCTAGTGTGACAGCGATGGACTTTGTTCCAGCTTGAGCATGTATTTTCTTCATTACAGGCTGCTTTGGGAGAACAACATCAGAGCTGGGAACACTGCAAGTCATGAGATCTACAGTCCAGGACAAAAGATGATGACGGCATCCTTACCAGGCCTATAGCAGAAAAGTCCAATGTAAGAACAATAGAGCTGACAGGAAAGCTCTGCTAGCATTGTTCAAAGTTGTAATTGAAAGCTTCCAATTTTCCAACAGCTTTTTGTTGCTGGCTTTTTTTTTTTTTCAAATCTGTTATTGAGAAATTAAGTATGGCACATGGAACATTCTGTTGCTATTATTTTTGGGTACATTAAAAGCAGCAACAAGAAGCAGCAGCATGGTGAAGCAGGCAGGCATTTGTCCCTGAGAAAGCCCCAAAAAGTACACATGCAGCCCACTGCACTGAATATTGGTCTCAAGTGGACTCTCTGAGCCTCTCTGGGCTCCTCAGTATCTCAGATAGGTCCAATATCCTATATGCTGAGCGTTGATGTGGTTGCACTCCAGAAGAAGTGGACTGTGGTTGAGTGAGCAACTAAATGCTCTGTGCAGCTCATGCCTCGCTGCAAAAAGATGGAAACAAAGGGTCGCTTTCCCACCCAGCTCTGGGAGAGAAAGGAAGTCTTTATTCAGCAAGTCCTCAATAACAGATTTGAAAAAAAAAAAAAAAGCCAGCAACAAAAAGCTGTGAGGGTGGATGACATGCTGTCAGCCAGGGTGTCAAGAGGAGAAGGAACCTATGGTGCAGCCCAGGCTGACTTTCCAACCTGCTTCCTCCATGTGGCAGCAGTAGTGGCAGAGGAGCACACAGCATCCAGGACTGCACCTCTCTGCAAACAGGGTGAACTTCAAGCTTCTGAACAGATTGCTCATCCCTTACTGGGAAGCAAAGGCCATTGAGGCCAGCCCCATTCAGTCTAATGGGTTTAGTTTTATTTTAGCCCCCGGGATTTTTCTAAAAAAACTTCCCACCATGCTAATGGCTCCTGCAGCTTATTAAGTTAAGTGCTTTCAAATGGTGACACAAAAAATGCTTTGTGTTTTCTTACTTGTTATTTAACTGTCAGTACCCTGGAAAATACTGGGAAGCATCACTCACAGTAAGGGTATGTTTGAGTTAGGTACAATACAAGGAACATAAAAATGTCAGGCTCCTATTAGTTCAGATTTAGGAAACATCATGTGTTAAACATCAATCCCTACCCTGGAATAAAAAAAAAACAAACTTGAAATTTATTTTTTCTACTTCTTACTTGCAATGTTTGTCAAAGTGAAGTGATAAAAAGTGAGGTTAAATTCTTCCCTTTCCAGAAATCTGTTGTGCATTGAATTTCACCAAGAACAAAGATCCAAAAATATCACATCTAATAAAACAGTGAGATTCAAAAGCTTTCAGCTGCCATGGACTGAAAACCATTAAGCATACACAGAAATCTTTATATGTTTTTCTACTCAGGAACAGAACTGACAGGAGCCCAAAGTACAACACAAGTAATTTCCAGGTGCATCTTAACATTTTATAAACTCGGTCAAATCTACATTACAATGACATACAGACAAGATCTATCACATTCAGTGAATCAAACCTGCTCATCTCCATAGATATGTCATTATCATGCCATGGCAGTAGGAGAGCCCAACCTGCACAAATAAATTTGCAGATGCTATGCCCTTGGGTGGCTGAAAAGCACCATTGCCTGGACAGATAAAACATTGGGGTGACACCTCTGACCCTGGCAGTCCTTAGAGGCACAGACACCACACAAAGCTGACAGAGCTGTTCAACTGCAGCAGGAGGAACGTCCATGCGGTGTATGGACAAGGTCTGCCCTGTGGGTCTGGCAAGAGAGGGCTGGATGAGGAAGCAAAGTCCATCAGGCTGAGGGGCGAATGGCTATCCATGAGACAGAAAAACTTCAGGGAAACAGATAAATGTGACTGCATTTTTTAAAAAAAGATTTAAAGAGGCAAGAGGGAAATAGTCCCTATAGACTGAGAGGAAATCTGAGTTACAGCAGAGCAGTCATGACACTAATTTTCTCCTCGTGTGTGGTGTCCTCTTACACAGAGCTGAAGCTCCAACTCCTTGTGCAAAATCTCTCTTGCTGTGCAGTAGCATCAAGTCCACCGAGGGCTTTCCAATGACCACGACACAACTACATCACGTCTGTCTTAAACCCTTTTCTGGTGCACCAGTGTGGACTGTATTTCCATGGCAGTTGTATGTTTGGAAACTCCTGGCACGGCCTTATGGCAAGATTTCATTGCAAGAGAATAAAAACTGTTGTGGGCAGTAGCTATATGAAACCAACCATAATAAACCACACAAAAGTAAGTGACTAGGAAAACAAAAGAGAAAACAACTCCAAATACCAGCAGCAGAAAAGAAACAAGCTACATGAGAATAATACAGAAGAGCTAGTCACTCATGATGCCAGACTGGATGGCTACTCACGAATTTTCTCAGGTTAGCAGGCAAAGCATTTCCTAAGCAGGAATTACCTTTTGCCTTGGACAGCGTAAGTCTGTGTTTATTCCATGAATATTTATTTTCCTCTAACTCACAACAGCAAAATAAAAGAAGCACTTCTGCTCCTGCCAAGTCACACACCTACTGTCCCTCAGCAGCTCTGGTGGGATGCGGCCCTTGTCAATGCACGCCTATTCTGAAACACCTCTTTTCTCCTGCTTAATCATGTTGTGTCTGTTTTGTGTGCCCTCTTCCACCTATTTGGGTGTTGATTCTGACTTTAATGACTTCTGGCGTGGCCTCACATGCACCCTGCAAATTCCTCATACGGAGAAGTCCATAGGGAGGGGAAAATATGGAAAAGGCCTCTTCTAGGGAGTGAGAGAAGGGGCAAAAAACATCTCGCTGTGTTGGCAGCTTTGTTAAGATTACAGAAATAGGATAAAGCACAACTGTATCAAAGACAGAAGAGACCCACTGCAGCTGAACTGCAGGGACATTTATATTCTGCTGCTGTTGCCCACCTCCCCTTGCACACCTGCTGTCCTTTCCAAATCTCCTGCTGTTCTCAGAATGACACTTGTGATGGGTGGCTACATCACCTCTTCCACTGGGACTGTAGTGACAGAGAGAGGA